ATCATGTAAGGATACAGTTGAATTCTATAATAGATGGCAACCGTGCCCTTTCTGTGTCTATTCTAGATGCAAAGACAGTGGCCCAAGTGGTGGGTAGCTATATTGCCTGGTCTGGATGTCTTATTATGTTAGAACCGCCTAAAAAGGTGTGTGTGTGTGTGTGTTAAAACCTTTAGCTAATTTAAAATAATTTATAAATTCTGTTTTAATTGCTAACTATATGTTTTTTAGTCTAAGGGAAAGAAAAGTCTATTGGAAAATCAGTCATTGTCATGTTCACTATAACATCCAAAATATTATCTCAATATTAAAAATTTATTATTATTTAAAAAAAAATAAAATAATATAAAATAATAATATTTTATTAAAAAAAAAAACACCATGCTTTCCCACCAAATTTGGTGGAAATGCTGAGGGCATTTAAGAAGAAGAATTTGGGGGAAAGGGTCATCTATTGAAGAAAGAAATTTGAGGCGTGTGGTTAATAAATGAAGAAGGAAAATGAAGAAGAGACGATTGAGTAGGAAGGATAAATAGGAGGAGGAGAGGTGATAGACAGAAGAGAAAGTTAGAGTGAGAGGCAAAGAGGAAAAGAGAGAGCGAGTGTACTGAGCTGGAAAGTACATGATAAGCTTTGAGGATCATTTAGGTATATAAAAATAGTTCTTTTTATTAAATTTTCTTTTATGAATATTTCCTATATATTTAGAGCTTTATATTAAAAGTATCATTATAATGTTCTAAAGAAAATTTTGTAGTTTGAGTACGAAGTATGTAGTGAGTTTTGACAATATATGACCGTAAAAATGTAAAGATACATTATTAAGAAATTTTAATTAGTTCATATCTATTCATTGATTGTTTTGAGACTTTTAAACTAAGATTTTAGCTGAAAAATGTATTATTCAAGACATATAGAATATTTTTACTAATTAGATTTCAGTTAAATAACTTAATTAGGTTATTTAATATATCGCTGAGATTTTAATCGGTTTAAAATGTGAAATAGATTAACGATATATTATTAAAAAATTTTAAAATTGAAAACTGAAGTTATAAATTTAGAATTTTACAAAATTAAATAAAATCAATACTTATTTATAATTTGAATGAGTTATTTGGGTGGAGGAAAAATGTTATTTAGAGCAAGAATTTTTTGGGCAGTAAATATATGTGCATATATATATTAATAATAATAAATTCTATGTAATTTAAGTTATTTATTTGTATGTATATTAAATTGTATCTACATTATTTGTAGATTATCTTGTACTTCGAAGTCTGTCATTTGTGCTCTTATTCCTCAAGCTATGAGGTTAAGCTTGGAGTAGAGATAATTAGGGTTAATTTATTTTATATATATGCTTTAGATTGTAAGGTGTTTATTATGCTTTTATTTTCTCAAATTAATTTGTGAAAGTATGTCTATAAATAAAGTATGTATTTTCTCATATAACAAATTTTGGTGGAGAGGGAAGTATGTCAATTTAATTATGCATGAGTTGTATTTTATCGGGAATTATGTTTTCTTGTAGTGTTGAATTTGATTTACTAATATTATGTTATTAAATAAAATGGAAATGTGTTGTACATTGTTTGGAATTATATCATCTTACTTTGAAAAATTATGATATTTTTAATTTATATTTTGACTGTGCATAGGGTTCATATGTGGAGGATAATTGTTCTTGAAGTCCGCGCGGCATGCCTACACTATTAATCATAGTGTTTGGCCTTTTGTCAGACCCCTATAGTTCTTCCTTTTCCATGGCCCGGAATTGAGAATCAGCTCTTGGTTAGATATCTCTTGCACCATAATCCATTCTTGGGCAATATAGGCATAGGAGGGGACCTGTTGCTTAATGTGAATGGGGTGACCTTTGGCTAGGTTACTCAGCACAAAAAGTCTGGGTTCTTATCAAGAAGTCATAAGGAGGAGTAGGGTGATGGGATGGCATATTTCATAGTGTTATTGCATAAGTGTACTTTTATATGAATTATGTTGTGGATAGTGAGACATACTCCTTTCATATAGTTGTATCTATTAAAGCATCATTTATTACTTAAATTATATTTAAGCACTACTTCACTAACTTGCCATCCTACTTGTGCATGTCATAAATTAATACTTGGTTACTGGGACTTAACTGTCTCACCCCGTCATTCATCAATGCTTTTTAAGAGAGCATCTAGCTTAGCTCGGTGTGAAGGGAAGCAACTAGAGGCATAGGCGAGGATAGCCTAGTAGCCCTCTTTTGGTTTGGGCTGTAATGTCATAAATTAATACTTGGTTACTGGGACTTAACTGTCTCACCCCGTCATTCATCAATGCTTTTTAAGAGAGCATCTAGCTTAGCTCGGTGTGAAGGGAAGCAACTAGAGGCATAGGCGAGGATAGCCTAGTAGCCCTCTTTTGGTTTGGGCTGTAATGTTATGCATATTGCCATCTTAAGGCCCATTTTTGTTGACATATACTTACTTTTATTTGGTTGTTGGATGACTATACTTGATGAAGTGCTGTTAGAATGGCTGGAGGCCACAAGACTTTGTTGCATGTGTTACTCTTATGGATTGATTATGTTTATGACTTGTGGCCTGAGCACCCTATGTTTCTTGTACCCTAAGTCTTTGTGGGATAAATATTTATGATACAACCGTATCTGAGTATGTCACAAATGATCTATTGAAAGAAATTCTAGCTCATGAAATGGCTGGGATGAATGCCTGTAACTTTTATATAAGGTATTTCTCAAACCATAATTAAATACTTAATTACTTAGAACATTTATTATATTGATATTTTTGTTTGGGTAATTAGGTACCTTTACGAGAATTTCATTGTTCCTGGCAGCTTTGATGAAAAGTTTAGGTTCATCAGTCCCCATACCTTTTCCGACCCCAACCCTGATACGAAGCAAGACTTATCGAGGGATTTGACCGATATCTTCATTTCAAGGGCAGTAAAAAATAGGGACACTTTCTTTTTATCACCTTACTGTCATGGGTAAGTATACTAAATTTTCTTAAATTTTTTTTATTTTATAATACTTTTTAATTGTTCTTATTGTCTTTGTTATACCTAGGGGACACTAGATACTGATTGTGGTCAATCTCTTTAAGCCAAAAATTTGGTATTTTGATTCTCTTAATATTTGACCAATCGACCATTTATATAATTATTGTTTAACAGGTATCTTGAACGTATTTTTTTACCTTGAATTTAATTTCTTTTTTATCTAATTTTTGACAATCACTAACATTTAATTTCAATGTATTTTCAAAGCTCTGTGGCTATTCTACACGGATCAAGGCTTAGCATGCCCCCTGGTCAAAGGCGACCTATCCGATTCCGTGTTCCCATAGAAAATAGTAAAGGTATTCATCACCATTAACTATTCAACTGAATATAGTTTATCATTATATCATCATTAATATATTTTCCTTTCCCTTTCTTTATAGTGCCCATTGTAACTAGACAAGAGCTCAGAAGTTCATGAAAGAGATACTTATGCACAATGCTAACATAATCCCTACTAAGGTAACATGTATTTATTCAAAATTCAATTTATACTTGCGTTAATTATACATTTATACTTAACACCATCAATTTCTTTGTTTCTTGCATACAGTACTTTACAGATACATATTGCATGCAATATTCGTCCAGTCATGCAGAAGAAATTATGGAAGAGTTGGTAATGGCATTATACCATCAATGGGCACAGAATAGATAGACAAGAGATTGGTATTTATCTTTTTTTTTTGGTTATATTTGTCACAGTTCAATGTCTTGTGCTTTTGGTTTTGATACTTGGACAATTTTGTTATGATTTTTGTGAATAGCCAATTTTGGTTTTAGTTTAGTACTTGACAAATTTTGTTTTGCTTTCTCTTGTCCAAGTTTCTTTTTATATACACTGTATCACTTTTTATTTCTTAAAACGGAAAACCATATTGGAGGTACCTATACTTTCTCTCAATTTTTAATTTGGTACCTATGTGTTTTTTTTCCCTTTAACTAAACATTTAATTTTATCTTTTTAGCAACATTAGCTCTTATAACTTTGTTCTATTGCTATTTTTAGTCTCTACATAAGGATTAATGATGTTAATAGAGCAAAATTAAAGATTCAGTTAAGAACAAAAAACACATAGGTACCAAATTAAAAATTGAAAAAAAGTATAAGTACCTCCAATATGATTTTTCCTTCTTAAAATATAACATCAATTTCTATTTCTAATTTGCTGATTGGATTGATGTATATACATTTTTTGTTCTATTGCTCCCTTTCGTTTTCAAAACACAGGAGGGCTGCTAAAAAAGTAGCTAACAGCCACCTCAATTTTTTTAAAAAAAAATTTCTACAATACTTGATAGTTATTTGATATAACCATCAAGTATTGTAGGTATATTTTATGGTTATATCTAATAACCGTCAAATATACAATATACTTGATGGTTATTGATGGTTATAGCAAATAACCGTCAAGTATATTGAACACATACTTGATTATTGATCAAAACCATCAAGTATGTTTATACTTGATGGTTTTGATCAATAACCATCAAGTATTTAGCCGTAATACTTGAAGGTTTTTAGTTAAAACCATCAAGTATTATATCAAATATTTGACAGTTATTTACCGTCAAATATTACCTACGTAAATATTTGACATCTCCATATTTAATAGCTATAAACTATAAAGTATGACAAAAAATAACTGTTAAGTATTTATATTTTTATAGTAGTGATATTTTACACATGAGTAGGATAAGAAAACACTTGAGTATGAAGACAATAGTACAACACACATCACACATCGTCACATTGTGATGATCTTATTTTCAATTGAGATCTCCAAAATAACTTATATGAAGCCATGGAGGGAACCAGAAATATGTGATTTTGGCATGGAAAGCTCCTTACACACTTGCTCCGTGGGTGGGCGAGCACGTGGATTTTCATTTAAGCAAGTAGAAGCTATTTTTGCAATCAACATCACCTTCTCAGCCATTGAGCTTGAGGATAAGGTAGCCTTTGATCTAATACTTGCTTCAAATCCAAATTGTGAGCAACTATTGTCGGCGTTGTACTAGAAGATGCTGATGAGAAGCACAACATTAAGAGATCTCTTGGATGCTTTCTCATAATTATTTCCAAAGCCAATACTCCAAAGCTATAAATGTCACATTTCTTCGTCACTTCCATTGTGTAAGCAAGTTCTATAACAAAACCAAAAAGATTATCATGAAAAACATTACGAATGATAAATTTTTAATTGTTAAATAATGGAAATATGAAACATAACACCATGCAAAACTCAAAAATATTGAAAATCACATAACATAAAAGATCCTTAACCTAGAACAGCATAGCCAAAGGTACCAACAAATGAGGTCCAATTGTTAGAATCTGGATGCAAAAGCTTGGCTGTCCCAAAGTCAGAGATATGAGCCTCATAATCCAAGTCTAAAATAACATTTTTGCTTGATATGTCATGATGAACTATTGGAGGTGAGTATCCATAGTGAAGATAGTATGAAGCATTAGCCATACCTTCAAAAACTTTGATTTTTTTTACTCCAATCCAATGCAATTGCTTGTGTCTCTTACTTAGTTTCTTGTCCAAGCTACCTCCTTCCAAGAATTCATAAACCAAAAAAGAGACCTTTGAATGCTAGTAAAACCCATATAGCTTGATGATATTATGATGCCTAGTTTCTGTTAAGGTTCTAATCTTACTCATAAAAGCTTTCTGATGACACATATCCTTGTTTGGTACTGAATGAAGCTTCTTCACTGCTACAACTTGACCTGTGGATAATTCTGATTTGTAGAACTTCCAGATTCTCCTTCCTTAATGAGATATTTTTCATCAAACTCCTCTAGGGCTTCAATAATGTTTTCATATACTAATTTCCCATCATAATTTCATATAGCGAACAAATTTTGAGTTTGCACTTCTGTTTCTTGACTTTTTGTTTTCCTTGCTTTGTGATGACAAATAACATATGAAATCCCAACAAAAAATGTTGCTGGCATCACAACTCCCAAACTAAAGGATACAACATAGATCAACACTTCCCTGCTCTTAGAATGGCTTGAGTCAAAATTTGTTGTTGGGCAAATTGGTAGGCGAGATAGATCACCACATAAGCCTCTATTTCCTGTTAATCTCTCTATTATAGCTGTATGAAAGGCTGAAATATTTGGAAGTGGGCCTTCTAATTGATTTTTTGATATGTCAATCACAACCAAGCTATTCATATCAACAAAAAGTGAAGGAATAGTTCCTAAAAAATCATTGTGTGAGAGATTCAACATTTCCAATCGATGTAGCTCTCCAAGCATTGCTGGGATTCCCCCAGTAAATAAATTTCCACTAAGATCAAGATACTGAAGTTGTTGTAATTGACCAAAACTAATGGGAATGCTAAACAACTTGTTTCCACTGATGTTCAATTTCCATAATTTGGTCAACCCTCCTCGTTATTCTGGAATTGAGCCACTTAAATGATTGTTAGCTAGACTCAACTGTTCAAGGTTAGTCAACAATCCTACATCAATAGGAAGGTTTCTTGAAAGTTGATTATTGCTCAACATAAGTTCAATCTTTAATGATAAGTGACTCAATTCCTTTGGAATACTTCCTGTCAAGTGATTTGATGAAAAATCAAAACTCTGTAACTTGGTTGCCTTGCTTAGTTCTAATGGTATTCCCCTAGATAAGTTATTATTTGAGATCTTGAGGGTTGCAAGGTTACAGTACTTTCCCATATAGGTCACAGGTCGCCATAAAATGCATTGTTACTCAAATCAATGTAGTTTAAGGGTGGGCATACGCCAAAAGCATCTTTGACATTTCCCGTCAATTGATTGCTTTCAAACCTAACTCTGATAAGGTTAGAGCAATTCTTCAAACTTCTGGGCATTGGACTAGTGAAATGATTCCTATGTGCAGTGATGTTAGCCAGTAATCCTCCCATGCAGATATCTTAAGGGAAATGACCTTTGAAATCATTTTCTCCAATCACTATTATAGATTCATTCATATATGACGCTTAAGATTTGACAGTTATTATAAAAAACATCAAATATACCTTTACTTGATGGTTCTTGAAAAGAACCGTCAAATATTAGGCAAACAAATTTGACGGTTATATCAAATAAGGGTCAAATATTTTCAATAAAAAGTTTAAAAGTATTTAGTTAACGGTTGATATTGATAAGGGTCAAATATTCTACATATTTCATCCTTTTTTTAATCCCTGGTGCCCTATCATCCCTATGTGAAAAACTTGAACTCACCTCTTATTTGCCTCGCCATTCTAGATCTCCTCCACCTTCGGTGAACTCATCCTCCTCTTGCCCCTCTTTCTTTTCTTCTTCCTCTCCGTTAGCAACAGTGTCGACCACCACACAAATAAAAAATAGATCAATTGGAAACCAGAAATAGAGAAAACCCTAGGTACATATTGAAAAAAACACTCAAGTCATTTGTTAGATGCTTTTAACATGCCATTTGAATGAAATGCAATGTCTCCATAGTAGAGTTTCCCTACTTCCCATGGAATTGGTCCTAAGATTTGATTGGAAAAAAGGTAAACATGGTGCAAATTGGTCATATTTCCTATAGTGGCAGGGATGTTACCAGAGAGATTGTTTCTTGACAAGTCAAGTTCAACTACTTCCTTTAACATTCCAATTTCAGTAGGAATGGAACCAATAAATTGATTACCTCCAAGTACTAAGAATTGGGGATTAGGGAAAGATGAGAAATTGAGACTATCAAGCGTATCTCTTAATCTAAAATTTGGAAGAGATATATTGGAAATTGAGTTGAGCTTATTACATGAGATTCCGACCCATTTGCAAGTATGACTGCTATTATCCTTCCATGATGATAACACAGTTTGGATGTGGTTGTTGAGGCTGGCTTTCCGCTTTAGCAAAGCATTTGCTTCACTATTTAGTGAAGTCATGAAAGAGGAAATAGGAGATGGTGGGAACAATGTTAAATAGCCAACTAGCAGCATCCACCTAAGTGTTATGTTCTTAGGAAATAGAGGCTTTTTGAAGAGGAATCCCATGGATGTGAAGGAAATTTCAGACAAAATGAGAATGTTGTAGTAAACGCAATGGATGCTAAGAGATATATATAAGCATATGAACTAGCTGTCATTTATTAACGATGTGATTTGACATTTCTGATACTTATATGCATGTGCCTATGCCATTGTATACAGACTAACTGAATAAAGACTTTTCTTGATAGTTATTTAGGTAGTATTAAGGCAATTATATTTTACTTGATCAATTTTATTATTATAAAAATTTAATAAACGTTTAAAAATTTATATTTTTAATAAATGTTAGTAGAAGGCATAAATAATTATATAATCTTAAGATTTAAAAAAAAATAGTTGAGCAGTTTAAATAAAAAAGATTTATGCCATGCATATTATCATAATTTAATTTAAATTTTCAGATATAATTATAGACCCGATAAACTCATCATCTTTCATAAGAAAATGTAGAGGTCGAACCTCTAGGAGAGGCTAGGAGAGGACATTAGATAAGGAAAATAGATAAATTCTTTTTCGATTAACTCAGTCGACTTTTTGACTAGTAAGGGACTTATTGATGGAAAATTGAGAGAAAAAGGGAATAGAAGAAAGTTTATGTCAATGTAGCCGCTCAAGGCGTAGTTTTTCCATCTTGTATAGAAATCCTTGATAATACACAAGGAATCTAGATGGTTCAAATGGTCAAATGGATATCTAGGACAATTGAATCCGGATGGAAACGGAGAAGGCCTAGTTCCTTCCTTCCCACATACTTAATCCTATAGTTTGTTAGGTCTAAACTTATCTCAAAATTTAAAATAAATTGTGATAACATGATGTAAATGTTTTTTATTTGAATTGCACAAATATTTTTATCTTTTGAGATTATATAGTTGTTTAACAAAATGAAAAAAGTATTTCAAACTTTAAATTTAATTTTAATTTTTAACTATAAAATACGCTAAATCAAATTTTTAGTCTCAAGTATATATATGTTAATGAAAATTATATGAAAACATTAAAGTAAGATTAAAAAAAACTCAATTAAATCTAGCTGAAATACCTACCTTCAATTTTACTTTTTAACTATAGAGGGATATTCTAGTCATTTAACAACTTTCTAAAATTCTTAATTAAGTTTTCTGGTCTAATTAGGAATTTGTTAAAAGTGTAAGTTTAAATTTAAAATTTTGATATTTTTGCTTGATTTAATTGAGATTCTCCCCACCTTAATCTCTGCAGTAATTAAATAGATACATAAACATATATATAATATAGTGGTTTATAGAGGATGACTAAAATGCTTTACGATAGCTTTAGAATAATTTTAAAAGTAACTCTAGAGCAGTTGTTAGTAGTCTATTGATAAATATTTATGTTTATGATTATTGTAAATTATCATTGAAATTTTTAGAATAACTTTGCTGTAACTATTTGTAAACTAAAATAACAGGTAACTATGAAAATTCTCGATATACATATTGATAGTGTGTGATTGCACCTTGTTGGTTATCTAGTGAATTATACAAGACTGAGTTACATAAAAATATGTTGTGTGTATTCTGAACTTTTTTTTAGTGTGATTTAACATACATTTCGTTTCATTTGTTATTTACATTATTGATTAATTAATACAATAATTAATATTAATACTAGTTTAATTCCTTGTTAATTATAATAATTAAATCATAGAGATATTATAGTTATTCATATTTTTAACTTGCAATTCCTATATATAGTTATATATATTTATTTATTTTTGTGGGTGTGTGATTTGGATTTCAAATGTGTGTGTAACGTTTAGATTATTCGAATTGTGGTTGAATCTTTTTCTCAAGCATGCTTGTATTCTAATTACTGTTGCGAAATTTTTCAGATTTAGTACAACGCAACTGACCAGATTTTAATCATATTCGTCAGGTATTTTATAGAAATACTATTTACTATAGTATTACTAACTTCTAAGCATCATGTTTGCTCTCCATCAGAATTCGGACAGCATCATCACCACAAATCTAAAAATTCCAACTTCAAGAATAGTGTTTAAATCATCACTTTAGAGTCTCCCTACTTGGATCAATCTTCTAAAATGATTCTATAACATTTGGAAGCATTAAACGGTTACTAATTTCAACTTTCAGCTTCCAAATTTCAGATTCATTGATGTGTGTCCAATAACAGACCATCATATAACACAGACACATCAATTACTCAAGAATTTGGATATGTCGATAAGATTCTCATTGGAAATTCGAATGACTCCTTCTGACGGCAAAATGAAGAATGAAAAAAAAAATCATCCTTTCCACAGTAATATTCAACATCCAACGACATTACACATGCAACCGAATATATCTCTATATATATGCACACATCTCCACAATGCTTTATTCTTCTCATTCAAGCACTTAGCCTCTTAGAGACTCTCAAACACCTTTAATCAATGAAATCTAGAATTTTCAGATCTGAGATACACCCAACAATAATT